TCTCTCTCTCTCTCTCTCTCTCTCTCTCTCTCTCTCTCTCTCTCTCTCGGATGGTAATTCGTTTCTTTTGTTGTTAAATTATCATCTCTTGGACTTTCTTCATGAACTCTTCTTGTTTTGTTCTTCATCTTTGTTGCATATTCATGAGTTAATGTGCTCAATTCAAGAGATTTATAAAAGGTACAAGTGTTCTAACTTATAAGTGAACTGTAAAATGTAAATGCCAACCTCTGTTCTAAGCTTGAAAGGTCGCTGGGAGGTAGCCTTGAGTGTTCGTCTTTTCCATTTGCTGCCTCCAAAACTTGAAGATGATGAATCAGAACTCTGCATAGTAGAATAAAATTTAATAAATCAACATAAACAAGAAGCAACAATCACGATTATAGAAAAACAATGATGAATGATGACTTACGTTTCTTCTGCTTTGACGACCACCTCCTGAAATCCTGTTTGAAGTGATAAAACGTAGAAATAAACCCATTTGGAATCGAAATTAAGCATGCTTAACAGAAATTCCATGGCCGAGTTTTTAGATGATGGTTAACCAACCTCCCATAGCTTCCATCAAGTGAAGAGCACAACCGTAGAATTTCTGTAGTAAGAGATCAGATAGGTTGAATGAAGTAGAAGAGAATCGTCTCTTAGGATTGTTGTTTGTCTGAATAGCAACTTCACTCCGATTGAAAAACCCTTCCTGAGAAGCCCTAAGAGTCTCATAAGCAACACACAAACATTTTTTTGAATTAACACTAGCCTTACACTTACAATCGACTGAAATCGGGGTTTAATCCTTGTCTCTCTTCGAATTCTTCTTCGCCGCCACAAACTTCCTCGCCCGAATCTTGTTCTTGGGAGAAGGCAAAGAGATCTGATTAGGTTTCTTCATCATCGATTTCTGGACTTTAGTCGCTGATTTGGCTGATGGGGAATTCAAGGCTTTCGGATTAGGGCTAGTAACGTTAGGGTTTACATTCTCTGGTAGCTTTGACTTGTTGGAATGCTTCGACTTCCACGGTGTCAGTGGCACTGCTCCGGCGTTCTTACCGTTTGGTTCCATCGGAAAATCGTCGGAATAAGGAGGAGATTAGTTGTAGAGAGAGGTGACGGGGCTTGTGGGATTCATTTTATCAGAGAGAGAGAGAGAGAGAGAGAGAGAGAGAGAGAGTGTGTGTGTGTGAGAGAGAGAGATTATGTGGGCCCTTATTTTTAGTTTTTATATATAAATACTTATAGGAAAAAAAGAACAATGGAAAATAAATATAATAAGGGCAATTTAGTCTTTTCAATTTACCGAAGGACCAAAAATCACAAGCAAACTATCTCAAAAGGACCACCAATCAAAAAAAGTCGTGGTTTGGACAAAAACCCCAAAAAGTTGCATACCACAGGGACCGTTTTTGCAATTTTGTCTAGAGTAAATTACACGAATGGTCCCTATGGTTTGGGTAATTTGCACATTTGGTCATTAACTTATTTTTATAACTCGGAAGGTCCCTACAGTTTGTTTTTGTTGCGCGTTTGGTCCCTGTCTTACCTAAAAAGACTATTTTGCCCTTGATTTTTTAATTTATTTAAATAAGGTGGGGTAGGTAAGGTAAGGTGAGGTGAGGTGGAAGTGGGGTTGGATTTGTGTTTATTTAAATAAATTAAAAAATCAAGGGCAAAATAGTCTTTTTAAGCAAAATATGGATCAAACGTGCAACAAAAACAAATAGTAAAAACCTTCCGAGTTAAAAAATAAAGTTAGGGACCAAACATGCAAATTACCAAAAACTATAGGCATAATTTACTCAATATTTTATCTCCCCATCATGCATCCCCCACTATTAATTGGCCTTCATTTTCAACTCTTTAACGTGTGTCGTTGATGCCTCGTTTTTCTAGCAGTGAGCACCACCACGAAAATGTGATGCAGCAAATAAGTGATAGCGACACGAAAATGTTTAAAACTCAAAAGTAGAAGTTATATTCAATTGAAATGCTTTTAAACGACTTCATAGAACCATATATACAAGGTGAAAGTGAAATCTGCATGTATGACCAAATTTTGGTAACTTATAATGGGCAATATATGACTAAAATTAACCTCCTAAATACTCTTTTGAAAATAGAAATTAATAAGGAAATCGTACAGTAGTAGCACATAAATTTGGGTTAAATTTCATGAAGAATATAGAACCTCCAAGACATAGTTCGTACATGGACTAAAAGATAGAACCATAGTTGCTTGTCGATGTCTTCTTCTAGTCTTCTAGATGAATGGTGAAACCGTCTAATTTTAATTTTTTAAACATGTTTGAGTATCTAATCGAAATTAACTAATGATGTCAATGTTTGTGTTTATACTGATATTACGTGAAAAACATATATATATTCTTTTAATAATAAAAATAAAAATAAAAATTTGAATAATGATGTATCACTGTTTGTGTTTATAATGATATATTATGTAAAACACATATTTTTTTAATAAGATAATGAATAATATAGTAATAAAATAATTAAGTTCAGATAAAAAAAATTTCATTTTCAGTATAAACCTTTTATATAATTAAAAATGTTAAAAAGAAAACCAATATTAACATTTTAAAGAGGGATATTGATCATTAGAGGCTAATATACCATTTCCAAAAAAAATATGAGCCAAAATCATCACTCTAGTTATTTTGTTGGATATGAGTAGCATTGGCATGTTTGATGCTTTGGATAAGATAAAGATATTCAAGTGGAAAATTTCCCACTTGTCGTAGTTTTCCACCTTTGGAAGAGTCGAGCTCGTTATCTCTTATATAATGTGATTGATATTGTCCAGTGAACTGTTCAAGTTTTCATAATTCAACCTTTTAATGTTTGGGATAGAACTTTTTGTCTAAAGTTATCATTTCATAATTTGTTACCCAATTATTCGCGACTCTTGATCAGTCACTTAAGAAGCTCAGAAAAATATCGTCTGAAGTAGGTAAGTTTAATTGAAGAGTGTGGACCATAGAATTGAACACCGATGAAGACAGTTTTACTTTTGTCATGCAAATTCTTCAAATTTAAAGATAACCTATTAAATTTGCATATGATTGCCCCAGGAAATTTACATTAAGAAAGATAAAAATATATATATATATATTCAAGATGATGATAGATCCAAATACGTACTGATAGTGTTTTAACAAAGCACTTGTCTTTGTTGGAACATTACCTTGCACAGGATCAAAGTCGTCAAACACACATACATATACGCAGTAAAAGCAAAAACAAAAGATCTCAAGGTGGGACAATTTTCTATGTATTACTCATACTCTAGAAAATAGAAAATACACCCTATTTTATACTAAGAAAATGCTAAAACTAGCTAACTTAATTTCCCACGTAGTCCTTGCCAAACTGAAGCCATAATTAAGCCTCTTATTTTCCACCAGACTCGGGTCTACAAATTGGACCCAAATGACCAATTCAAACCCATCAAGATTACCCAATTAACAGTCTTGCTCAAAAAAATGAGCTCTCTAATGTGTCCTTAGATATGGAAAGAAACGCATCCATCTATTTAGCAGGAAGAGACAAACCAATTTCAATATCAACTGGCGAATCTTTGCAAGCATTAACAGAAATCGAACCATTGTAATCTATCGATATGGTCTCATGTTTTTTCGGCTTCCCCCATCCAAAATCCACATCGTAGATCTTGGTCTTTGGTGTTCCCGACACCCCAGTTGTTGGCACCGAGTCGTAGGCTCTTTCAAGCCATGTCTCCGCATCTTTAAACATTCCATACTTATTTTTTATCGTTTCACTTAAAGACTTTCCAAGTAATTCAGCAGCAATATAAAATCCTCTCTCGCTTGTTAACAATGTGCTTGTTGTTGATGTAAAACATGGTCCGACACAATTACCGAAGTAAGTTTGAGGAACTGGTGGGTCCATACGTGACCTCCAATCGACAGCACATAAAAGCCTTTCTAGATCATCGTCGCTTTTCTTCTCACCCACATGATCAACACGTGATTTGGCTAAGCAACTCCATACAAAAGCACATGCCACCGAAAAAGATGATATGTATTCAAGTGTTGGTAGTTGAGTTGATAAGTTTTTCTTTAAGCGATTGATGTGAGCTTGTGTCAAGACAATAGTGGCTCGAACTTTATCTGTTTGGGTAACAAGCTGATGAGGCTGGTATTCAGTATCAATAGCTTCAAGCCCCGGTTGACTCATGTATATTTCATCTAAGGAGATTGGGTATTCGATCACTCTATCATAAAAAGGTAAAGATCCACTAGCTAAGTATAACTCATCTGTACCATGTCTAGCTATGGATGTCCACGCCTTTAGGAAATTAGACCTTGTGCTAGCATCACAAAGAGAGTGGTGGTTCGAGAGACCAATCGAGATACCTGCGTTGGGAAAAAGTGTAACTTGTACACAAAAAAGTGGGATTGAAACATAGTCGGATACTTTTGTCACACGTCCCAAACTAGGTACGAGTTGATAAAACATGTCACAGTTACGAGGATGGTTCCCTGTAAGATCGTTGAAATCAAGACTACACTCGGCAAAACTAACAGCAACAGAGTCGCCCTCTATGTAACGAATTTCGGGGTTTTTAACTTTTTTTTCAACACATGGATTAAGAAACACGATTAAGTTTCCTGCAAATGGGAAGAAGTGCTGAAGAGTGATGGATAATGAGTGGTTAAGGTTTGGGGCAACTGTTTCCAAGAAATGTTCTCTAGAGTGAGGGAACTCGTAAAAGAAAACCTGGTGGATGGGGAAGAAGATTAGCCATATCATGTCGAAGAAAGTAAGCGGGAGAGACCTCTCTCTGACGGTTGCAGGTGGCGGAGATACACGGCAGCTCTCGAGAACAGTCGACATAGCGGTTGTAGGGTTGGTTTGAATTGAGTGGTTTGGTTTATGACTCGTTTTTACCTGAAGGGTTTTTATAACCACAAGATTACCAATCAGGAGGAAAGGTACGTTAAATCAAAATAAGACCACTGCTGTTTTTATCATGAGTCTATGAAAGTTGCACCCAATAGTACCAAATTGAGACCTTCTGGTGGCACCCATACATGGTGGATTAGGTGAGAAAAATAATTTTGACGTGGTTCAAATGTGGCTCTCACAAATTCAAATTCTCCTTTATATCTAAAAAGTTGAATAAAATTTTATAAATGTCCCTATGGTTTTCAAAAAGTGGCACATTAAGGAAATCTTTAGAAAACACTACACTAATGGTCCTTTTTGTTTCAAATTTTGCATGGGTGGTCCCCAAGGTTTCATTTTGTTACAAATTTGATCTAAAATTACTATTTTGACCACGACTAAATATTTTACTGATTTTTATTTTTTATATTTTAATTTAAATTAATTAATAAATGGCCCCTCCTTTGTTAAAACCATTCCTTCTTAAAGATCAAGATGGTCACCATGTCTCCAGACCCCGATGCAGAACCACCTACCGGTCATCGCTCTATGATATCTCTGATCACCACCGCCACTCTTTGGTATCACCTCCAGCATTCTCTATTCCATGTGTTCCTATATAGATCAATGATGTAACCATGTAGGGTTAAGCCCTAGATCTAGTTTTCCAAGAGGTACCGACTAGATTTTATCGTTGGTAATTTTGTAAGGATGAAGGGAAGAACCACTGTCATTTATTCTCGTGAAGGAGGAAGCGGGAACCTTTGTTGCCCCTCCATCGGAATCGACCCCCAAAACCACCACAGAGACCTCTATCTTCTCCATCATTTCTTCAAACATCATTGGTGACCTCCCTTCTCCACTGTCTTCTCGTTACCATCATCTCCAACAAACGGTGTTGATGGAAGGTTGTAATAAGTATGTGTCTTCAAGAATCGGTGGAGACTTAGAGAAAAGCTGCAACTAATGGGGGAAAACCTCATCGGAAAAGAGGTTATCAAAGATGGTAACCCTATTCCTTGACTCCACACTCTCCCTGTATGTATTTAATTTTTAGGTTGGTGCTATTTTTCCAATATGTTTAGATATGTAATTTTCTGATTTGTGTTTCAACTACTATGTATGTGTGTGTGTGTGTGT